CTAGTTTAACTGTTCACAGAAGAGAGGAGTTTACTATATGTCTTTGACACGGTAAGACTTTCATCTTAATTATGGCTGGTGTAAATATTTGGTTCAATATTGTTTAATTGTAACTTGATGTTTTTTATTTTGATTTAGGATCCAATTTGTCTCACTTTTGATCCAATTTGATTCTCCGAATTAAAGGGCCGGTTCTTAGACCAATTTCTATTGACCTCTTTGTCGATAAAATACTTGCAAAAGACATACCTGATTTTTCATGTGGCGTCACTATGGTTATGGCGGCGTAATTTTTATTTGATGTTGCCTATCCTAAGCAATTTATAAAAACACTTAATTTTATTGAAACCACATTATATCGAATAAAGTTAAACTTTTCAAAATAGCAAAATAAATATCAAAATTATGCAAACTATAAATGTAAAATTGTTATAATTGTAATTGTTATAATTGTTAAAAAAATAACTATTTAAATTTTGTTTTTCTTTAACACTCAACTTTTCTACAAATGGTATATGGTAACATGTTAATAATTTGAAATGTGGTAACTGTTAATTCGTTTATTACAAAGCAAAGTTTGTTTGAATTCCGCTAATTCTGTAGCGGAAGAAAAAAGGGAGGGGGGTGGCACACACCCTGATTTTTTTGAAAAAAATAACTGAATTTCTATAAGAAGTCAAGTTTTAAAAAAAAGTAGAGGGGGAACCCAAGTCGTCATCACCCCAGTGTTGTTGCCCGCGCAAAAAAAAAAAATTTTTTTTTGGTTTTTCAAAAAACCGATTGGAATTTTTTTAAAAAACGCAATGCTTTTGAAAAACCAATTTTTTACGGTTTTTCAAAAATCCGAAAAAGGTTTCAATCTGGCTTCAGTCTAAAAAACTGATTTTAGTTTTTTGCTGCACCTTTTTATTTTACCGTGTACATATAAACAATTTTTAGACACCAATTTTATTACGATATGACGCTAGCTGCAATAGCCAGTGGGTCTTAAGCTTATTAAGTTAGCTGTCCTCGTAGCCATTTTTATCTTTACGAATTTCGATAGCTTTTCACTAACTCGGATAACATTTACTTTTTGTTGTTTCTCTAAAATAATATTTTCCATTTTATATCTTTTTGTACTTTTTGATTTTGTATTTTTACAATATCAAAAAGTACAAAAAGATATAAAATTCTAAGTTACGAAAACAACAGAAAACATTTATATATCATATAAATATAAATTATATATCATGAAATAAGGGTTGGTAGTGATTGTTCGTTAACCATAAATAACAAAACTTTTATTGTAAAAAAGTTTGCAGAGAATGTGAACTCTTGACTAAACATGTCGATCTTTTAATAAGGCAGTGTTTTCGTTAAGCTCATAGGTTTAGTTTAAGATTCCCATTCTCTACTTAGCACAATACATTGTTGATACAAAATAGTTGACAGAAAATGTTTGCAGTGTTTCTGCGGACATAATAATTCTATTTTAAGATAATAGTATTTCTTATATTCCTGATTATTACCCTGATTACTGCCATTGGGACAATTTTGGTATTACTATACATGCAATGACATCTGCTGTTCCAAATCTCACTCATGATGGTTTGAGTGAGTGTCAATAGCAGCTGCGAGGTCCCAATAACTTTGTTAATTCTTCCCAATATAGTGCGTTAATAAACGATATTAAATTTTCTCCGAGATTGAATTTTTGGAGAATTTGTAGCAGAAATGCACGATTGACTTTGTCAAATGCCTTTTCTAGGTTTATTGAAAAAATGAAACTTTTTACAAGGTAAATTTTTAAATACTGCGTAATCTATTAGATCACGAGCTGTAAATTTGAAAATATTGTTCTACCTAGAATTTTGCAAGTTTGGTTTGGTTTTATAATTTTCCCTATTACTTTTGTAAGTCTTAGGGCCAGCGCTTTTGAGATTATTTTGTAATTAGCGCCGGTTAACGATGTGGGCCTCCAATTTTTGCATTGAGTAAGATCTCCTTGTTTTGAAATTAGTGAAATGATTGATTTTTTCATAGAGTGGCTGGTTTGTTTCTGTACAAAAAGTATTTCGTAAGCAAGCTCTTCAAAGTCTTTTTCTAAAACGTCCCAAAAGGTTTTGTATTCAGCGGGGAGTCAGTCATAGCCCGGAGATTTTCCGTTTTCAAATTTAAAAAAATGCTTCCTTTAGTTCCGCGCCGGTTAGGCGGGTGTTTAAAAATTGGTTTTCATCATCACTTAAATGTTTAGTGATGTGTGACAAGACATAGTTTTAGCTGTCTTTGCATAAACTCGTTTTGGTGTAAACGTTTTTATAGTGTGATGCTAGGGAATTAAGTATTTCACCAGGTTCACTCGTCTATATGCCGTCATTCTTGTAAATTTTGGTGATTGACCTGTTCCGCTGTTGAGTTTTTTCCCAAATTATATAAAAAAATTTTAATGTTTTTCTCCTTCTTTGATGAGTTTTTTTTCGTGAGAATAAATGCTCCTCGAAACTGGAGCAAGAAATAAGCATTGCGTTTTTCTTTCATGCTACCTAAATTCGAGAAAGCGTTTTATCGCTCCCATTGGATTTCGTTTTCAATCCTGTTTTTTTTTTGCTTTTTGCACTTTCCTGTATCGTTATGTGTTGTAATTCACTCTTAACAAAAATTTTGAAGTCGTCCCACCATTTTAAAATTGAATTGTAGGACCATTTTTTTTCTTTCCAATCTTGAATTAAGAGTTCAATTTTTTGCCTATGCACCTCTATTTCCAAAAGGGAACAATTTACATTCCAGCATCCTGGTCCTCTCCTTGTTTTACTAAAATTGACGGATGTTGTCACGAACTCTTGGTTGGAAAAGGGGTTTGTGAGAATTTTGGTGTTTGTTGTTTTTTTGACGACTTTATCAGGGCAGTAGAATTGATCGAGTCTACATTTTATCTTCTGATTTCAATTTTGTTTGAATACAAGTAAATTAAGATAATTCTTTCGTCCCCACATAAAAATAGATTCTTTAACTATTTATTTATTATGTGAATAAGTTTTACTATTTTTTTTTTTGTAGTTTAATAGGGTGGGTTTTTGTTTCCTAAGTAGAGATTTTTTAAATTTTGTAAAATTTATAAATATATATATATATATATATATATATATATATATATATATATATATATATATATATATATATATATATTATATGTATATATATATATATATATATAATATAATATAATATAATATAATATAATATAAAATAAGTAAAAGACTAATTATTTGAAACTAGTTATTTGATGAAACTATTTTATTGATGATTAAATGAATACTTTAAATTTATATAAATTTATATATTTGTTCGAAATGATGACTAGAAAAAAATATAAATGTTTATTTAGATGAAACGATCAATGATTGGTATTTGACATTAAAAGATAGATCTTATGATGCAATATATTGTAGATGTTGTGTGGAATTCAATTTTTTTTAACTAAAACTTTGGCTTTCTTGCAGTTTTACTGCAAGAAAGCCAAAGTTCTAGTTAAAAAGATAAATAGATTAGTTGACAGCATCAGAAAATTAAAGTAATAGCAAAAAATTATTATTAAAAGTTGTTAGGTGTAGTCTTTTTTACCACCTGTGGCAATGTTTTCCTCATACTACAGTGAATGCATCTGAAATTCATAAAGAAACAATACTATTAAGCAAAAACAAAATGCCTAAAAAAGTAAAGAAAATTTTAAAATTAAAATGGAATTTATAATAGATTTAAAAATGGATTATTTTACACATTAGATTTAAAAATGGATTATTTTATCCATTATTGAAGATATGCAATATAGAAGAGCCATTAAAGGCAAACGTGCTCCTTTCTCAACTAAATGTTTATCGTATAATCTTAGATGTCGAATGTGACAAAAAACATTTTTGTAAAACAAAGGTAGAAAGAAGCAAAAGAATAAACTTGTCTTCAGAGGAATTATATCAAAATCTCCTTAATGTCATTCAAGCAAATTTAACACCAAATAAACAATCTTTAATTAATATAAGTAATAATTAGCCTATAAATAATAAGCCTTGTATAATACGTGATGCAGCTGTTGAAAGCAAAAAAAAAAAAAAAAAAAGAATTAATAAAAAAAAATCAGGATGCAAGAATAATTAAATTAATAGAGCAACAAAAAACCCATTTCTTATCAAAATTTATTAACAATTCACCTGATTTCGTAAGTTTTTCTATAAAACATCGTGTTAGAGAAGAAGATTCTCTTGGGAACGTGCGCAAGTGGTACAAATTGATCAACTAACCGCTAAACGAACCAAACCTTGTTAAGTATGATAACGAACCTGGTCATTAATTAATAAAGGAATTTATTAATTGATATTTTCAATATCAATTAATAAATTCCTTTATTAAATGATATTGAAAAAGTGATTTTATTCTTTTTACCTAGTATTGTGAGGTAATTTTATTTAATAAAAATTTAGAATTATTCTGTAGTAAGTATTGATCTTATTTATTTTTATCATTATGTTCCAATAATTTGTTTTTACTGCATTTGAGTTTTTATCTTTATAAATGATATGAATCATATCTGAAATGATTATATATACCAATTTTATTTAATTTAAAGATATTTTCATATTATTTATTAATATTTTTATCTTTGTGCTTAACTGCTCAATATTGAAAGTATATAAATTAAAATAACAAAAAAAAAAAGCTACAGCAACGTAGTAACCAGAGGGTTAGCAGGGGCATTTGCCCCCCCCCCCCACCCGCAATAATTTTTCAAATGAAAAATTTTGAAGTTTGTTTTTAGAAAAAGCAAACGATTACAAATTAAGATATAAAAGAAAAAAAAGGATAGAAAAGACTTAATTTGTTATCCGTATTTTCGCCGTAAGTTTTTTTGACAAAAGTTTTTGACCTACTACTATTTGACCTAACCAGTAGTACTGCCCAAAAAATCACGCACGGAAACTCGTATATGTTTTTACTTTTATTTTCATAAAAATAAAACTAGCGATCTCCAATTTACTCTCATTTAATTCTAATTAATATAAATATTTTGTAAACAAAAAATAGTAAGCATTAGTAATGTTAACAAAGAATAAATAAAGTTTGAAATGGAATCACGCACGGAACAGAAAAACTTCTATTTTAGTTACTAGATAAATAAACTTTAATTCCTCGGACAATATAAGTTTCACCAGTATACTTTTTTTTTTATAATAATATTTTAAACATTAGTAAAGATTTCCAGAAAGTTACAGGATTGCACTATGAATCATAGAGTCACATCAATCGTTTAAATGCAGTTTATGACGCACGGAAGTCACGCACGGGTGTTGCAAATTTGTCAATATCATGTAGTTATTGCTTGTGAGTATTTCAAGTAAAATATTATACTTCTGCGACTCATTTAATATATTTT